GAGAAGGAACACTGGAGAGCACAGGAGAGAGAGCATGGGAGAGGGAGCACAGAAGAGGGAGCACGGGAGAGGGAGCACAGGAGAGGGAGCACGGGGGAGAGAGCACAGGGAAGGGAGCACGGGGGAAGGAGAACAGGAGAAGGAACACAGGAGAGAGAGAGCACAGGAGAGGGAGCACGGGAGAGGGAGCACAGGGGAGGGAGCACGGGAGAAGGAGCACGGGGTAAGGAGCACAAGAGAGGGAGCACGGGAGAGGGAGCACAGGAGAAGGAACACAGGAGAAGGAGCACAGGAGAGGGGAGGGAGCACAGGAGAGGGAGCACAGAAGAGGGAGCATGGGGGAAGGAGCACAAGGAAAGGAGCACGAGGGAAGGAGCACAGGAGAAGGAGCACTGGAGAGCACAGGAGAGAGAGCATGGGAGAGGGAGCACAGAAGAGGGAGCACGGGAGAGGGAGCACAGGAGAGGGAGCACGGGAGAGGGAGCACAGGAGAGGGAGCACGGGGGAGAGAGCACAGGGAAGGGAGCACGGGGGAAGGAGAACAGGAGAAGGAACACAGGAGAGAGGGAGCACAGGAGAGGGAGCACAGGAGAGGGAGCACAGGGGAGGGAGCACGGGAGAAGGAGCATAGGAGATGGAGCACAGGAAAGGGAGCACAGGAGAAGGAGCACGGGGTAAGGAGTACAAGAGAGGGAGCACGGGAGAGGGAGCACAGGAGAGGGGAGGGAGCACAGGAGAGGGAGCACGGGGGAAGGAGCACAAGGAAAGGAGTACGGGGGAAGGAGCACAGGAGAAGGAGCACTGGAGAGCACAGGAGAGAGAGCATGGGAGAGGGAGCACAGAAGAGGGAGCACGGGAGAGGGAGCACAGGAGAGGGAGCACGGGGGAGAGAGCACAGGGAAGGGAGCACGGGGGAGAGAGCACAGGGAAGGGAGCACGGGGGAAGGAGAACAGGAGAAGGAACACAGGAGAGAGAGAGCACAGGAGAGGGAGCACAGGAGAGGGAGCACAGGAGAGGGAGCACAGGGGAGGGAGCACGGGAGAAGGAGCATAGGAGATGGAGCACAGGAAAGGGAGCACAGGAGAAGGAGCACGGGGTAAGGAGTACAAGAGAGGGAGCACGGGAGAGGGAGCACAGGAGAGGGGAGGGAGCACAGGAGAGGGAGCACGGGGGAAGGAGCACAAGGAAAGGAGTACGGGGGAAGGAGCACAGGAGAAGGAGCACTGGAGAGCACAGGAGAGAGAGCATGGGAGAGGGAGCACAGAAGAGGGAGCACGGGAGAGGGAGCACAGGAGAGGGAGCACGGGGGAGAGAGCACAGGGAAGGGAGCACGGGGGAAGGAGAACAGGAGAAGGAACACAGGAGAGAGAGAGCACCGGAGAGGGAGCACAGGAGAGGGAGCACAGAGGAGGAAGCACAGGGCAGGGCACAAGGCTGCACTCCTTCCTGCATGCAGCCCTCTCTGGTTTGACCCCAGCCCTGCACAGGGTTCCCGGCGCCCTCAGGAGGCACCCTGAGCACTGTGGGTGGGTCCGGCTTCACTCTGGGCCCCCTCCGTGAGCATCACGGGGCCCTCGCAGTAGAGGGTGTGACCCAGGGACCGTCGCGAGGGCGACTGCTGAAGGGTCAATGCTGACCCCAGCCGCAGGGGCCAGTATTTCTCAGTCCTGCCCACCCTCAGGGGTTCAGTGGCCTGCCCAAGGCTTTTCTCTGGAAGATTCCTTGGGGAAAAGGGTGCTTGGGGGCCCGCCTGGAGGACTCTGAGCTTGCCCCGGGGCTCTGCCTCCAGTGATCACTCCTGGCCAGCTGTTCGCAAGAAGGGTCCGGGCCCTGAACTCCCCAAGATCCCAGCACTGGGCCCAAGGTAGGGCAGCCTGAGTCCACAGCCCCCAATTCCCACCCACCCACAGAAACCCGGGGACCCCCCAGGCCAGAGCTGCCCCGTCCCAGCCCCTGCAAAGCTGGGTCACACGTCACCTTCCCGGGCCGGGAGTCGGCCGTGAGCAGGTTTGCGCTGGAGGTGGAGCAGATGTTTAATAACTTTGCAGGAGCGAGGGGGCCGTTACGTAACACAGCTGAGCTATTTCGGAACGTTGGAAAATGCTGACTGCTCATTTCCAAGGGCCTGCTGGAAAACCAGGAAGATTCAAGGGAGAGAATTCCTCCCCGCTCCCCGCCCCGCCCCCAGCCCGCTTCCCAGCGCCGGTGGTTTCTGAAGTTTCAGGTACGGAAACGGTCGGTCGCATCCTCCACATGTTCTACCACCAAACCCTGCCTGGCAGCCCGAAGGCACCAGGTCATGGGGAGGCTGCTGGGGGTCCCACCTGAGGTCTCAGGGGCCACCGTGGACACAGGCGGAGCCGGCCCCAGGAGGACACGTGCCACTCGTCCAAGCTCCTTTCCAGACTGAGCCGGGACTCAGCCCCGGACTCTCCCAAGCTATGCGGCTTCCCTGGCCCAAAGCGGGGCTCCTGGGGGTCCCGGGAGAGCTCTCTGCTCGCAGGGTACAGGACCGTCTCAAACCTGGCTGGAAATGCAGCTACTGCAAGGCCGGCATGCCAGCCCCTACAATCTGACAGCCCCACTCAGAGCTGCGGGCATCTCTGCGCTGTGCCCTCTGGGCCCGGGCTGAAGGTGTGCCTGGGACTGGCGGACGCCCTGCCTCAGTGAGGGGCACCCGCCTGCCGCTGCCCGATGGCCGGACCATCCTCAAATACAGACAGTGGCCGTCGGGAAATGCTTGTCTACGGAGGGCGCCAAGGAACACTCTGGAGGCGACTGTCCGGAGGCGACTGCCCTAGTTTGCTGGCTTTAAGGAGAGAGAATCTCTGTTTACGTCATCACACACGTACAAACCCACATGATCTTACACAGGTATATGTACGCCCTCATATATATATATATATATATATATATATATATACACAGGTTCACACACATACTCATGTATACACACAGATTCAAACGCACTTACATATACACACATTCACAAACATGCTCTCACACACTCAAACATACATTCATACACACACTCTTACAGGTACACTACACACCTTCACACACATACTCTCACACTCAAACGTATTTATACACACTCACATTGAGACACACAGACTCACACACTCAAACACATTCACACACACTCCTACATATATACACACATTCACACACACTCTTACATGTATACACACATTCACATACTTAAACACATGCGTTCACACACACTCTTACATATATACACATACATTGACACACATATGCAAACATTCACACACACTCACAAACATTCGCACACACTCTTACATATAAAGGTAAAAAGGTAAAGGCCCTCCCGTTGATCGTCGATTTGCTCGAGCGGGCCCAGTAATGTCTCCATTGGAGACTTTGTTGTTACTGTGTCTGGCATATCGAATACTCTCGGTAGCTTGCCGGGCTCTCCGAGAGGGGCGGAGGAATCAAACTCGGGTCGGCCATGTTGGCCGCTTGTAAGGCGAATGCCCTACCCGCTGTGCTATCGCTCCTACATTCACATTCACACAATACTCACACGCAAACACATTCACATACATTCTTATGCCCACTCGTAACATACATATCCAACACACTTAAACATTCTCACATCTATTCTTACACATTCACACATGCTCTTACACACATTTAGACACTCATACCCACACTCAAATATTCTCACAATCACGCTTACACACATTGGCACACATATTCATATACCCACATACACTTACACACTCACACACACTCATACACACACACAGCAGCCCTCCTGCCCTACCTGTGTGAACCCTGCAAAGCCTGACACCTTCCCCAGACACTTCCGAGTGATGTTTCCTCTGCTGATAGTGGTCAGCCCGGTTTTCGGATGGTAACTTCCTGTCGGTCTAAACCACCTGGCCAGTCCCCACCAGGCCCGATGCAGGTCCCTAGTGCCAGGTCCAGCACCTGGGGCCCCAAGGCCACTGCTCCGCCACACCCAGCCCCTGACCCACAGTCCCCGCCTCACCCAGGAACCCCACTCAAGAACCAGCTTCTTGGAATCCCCGAGAGCCACAGAATCAAGCATCGAGTGAGGGCGGGGGCAGGGGGTCCACCCTGGATCTGAACTGGCCCTGCTGGCCCTTCCTGCTGCGGTTGGGGGCCAGACACGTGACCACAGGCAGGGTGCTGCATCCGTTGGAGTTCAGTTCCCAGCCCTGCGCAGGCCTCTGAGCCCCACCAGGCGGGGGTCCCTGAGCGCACAGCCAGAAGTAAGGCCTGAGCACTGACAGGGGTCGCCCCCAAACAACAACAACAACAAAATGCACGTCCTCCATGACCCCTAAATTCCCTTCACCTCCACCCTAGAGAAACACTTATACAAACCCATGGGGGTGGGGGGCAGCTCTGCATTTCAGAGGAACGGTCGGAATTTTGATCCTAAACCCGACAAAGCGGGGGCGGCCCGGCCCTTTCTGAGAAATGCACAGGGTGCGCCCATCACCCAGGCCGTGAGCGGTCATAGCTATCACCGTCTGACAGGTAACCGCACCTGCACCTGTACATCTACCCAGATAGCACATACGTGTACCCCACCCAGATAACACGCTGGAAAGACGGGAAGGCGAGTGGGCAGGCGGGATACAGAGGCCACGCCAGGTGACAACAGGCCTACACTGTTCAATAGAGACAAGCAAGAGGCAGGGCTGGGGTGACAGCACAGCGGGGAGGGCACTTGCCCTGCACGCGACTGACTCCGGTTCCATCCCCGGCACCTCAGAGGGTCCCCAAGTACCACCAGGAAGGGATGGGTGCTCGATCATTGTATAACCGAAACCCAAGCACGAAAGTTTGTAAGTCTACAACTGTACCTCATGGTGTTTCACTAACAAAAATTTTAAAAAAAAAGTATCACCAGGAATGATTCCTGTGCCCAGACCAGGAGTCAGCCCTGAGCACCGCGAGGTGTGGACAACTCCCGAGGGCGGGGGAGGGGAGGGACACTCACTGGTGCAGTGTGTGCTGAGGGGCTTCTGGCTTGTCTGACTGCCCATAGCAGCTGGCCTTGGCCTCTGGGATGTAGGAGAACTTCTCCAGCATGGACGCGGCGGCCGTGGTGAGGATGCCCAGGCCATCCCGGACCCGGGCCTCCAGGCTGTAGTCCCAGTCGTCATAGGACACGGAGATGAGGCCTGAGGGGAACTCCTTGGGGATGAGCTCCGTGTTGCCCGACACCAGGCTGGGCACGATCCAAAAAAAGTCGTAGCCTGTGAGGCCGAGCGCCCGCGCCTCGCTCAGGATGGCCACGGCCTCGTCCTTGGAACAGTAGAGCAGGATTACTGACGAGTGAATCTTCTTCAGCTGCACCTGCGTCTTGGCATCCTCGAAGGATGTGTCCAGGGTGATGACGTTCTGCACGTCCCAGCCCACGAAGCTGTTGTCCACCGTGGTCTTGACGAAGCTGATGAACTCCCGGTAGCCGGGGAAGATGGTGGTGACCAGCGAGAAGGTGTGCCAGTCGTAGTCCTGCATGATCTTCAGCATGACTGTGGCCTGCTGCTGGATGGACGCACCGAACTGAAAGAAGGTGGATGTTGGGTCCTGCGGGCAGGGACAGAGAGAAAGAGAGAGAGAGAGAGAAAGAGAAACACAGGGAGTGAGGAGTGAGGCAGGGGTGGCCCAGAGACACCTCCCCACAGGCACCCACCCACCCATCGGCTCTCTCTCAGCCTTCCTGGGCACCCATGTGTGTGCCTGACCCTGAGACAGACGTTGCCCCGTCCCCTCTGGGACAGAAGGCCACAACCCCGGAGAGGGAAGGGCCACCGTCCACTCTTATACCCCCTCCTTCAGGCTGCCGCTGCCGCCACACCCACCAAACTCTCTCTGTGTCCCGAGGATGTGCACAGCTGAGAATGAACCCGGACTCGTGTCTTTCCGTGGACCCACTGGGGCAGGCAAAAGGGAGGACACGCCGGCCGCCTGGCCCCGCCACGTCTGAATCCCTCACTTGGTCAACACGCTCCCAGGCCGACCTTGGCCGATGGGTGAACTCTGGGTGCCCACGGGTGCCCTGGAGCACCATTAACATGGCAGGCACACACGGACCCGACAGAAAATCTTTCTGGCTCCCCTCCCCGTTTCGTGGATCCTCAGCTGGGACCCGTGGGGGGTGGGAGGGCAAACATGATGCAGGCTTGTGTTGGTCCGGCAGTGGGCAGAGGGCAGTGGGCACCTGCTTCCACAACAGAGAGGGATCGAGGGCTGTGGCCCCCACAGCAGGGGCGGGGTCCTAGTCCCAGCAGCCCCTGGGGGACAACTCGAGGACTCCTGGAATGGGAGATCAATGCGTTAGGGCTCAGGGAGGAAGAGAAAATGAGATGAAGCTAAGAGATTGGCAGCAACTGCCACCGTGTATGGCCTCGGGGGGCATGTTCAGACACTCAGATTCGATTCCGAGCACACAAGGAGCGGCTGGATGCGGGCCAGGGGGAGACTGACACCGCAACAGGCCACAGAGGCCCCCCCCTACCCCTGCCCTGACAGTTCCCTCCCCGCCCCCCCAGTCTAAGGTGCCACCTGGTTTTTCCATCCTCTGGACAAACGCTTTGCAAACGCCCCTCCCTGTAAGGGGCCCCCGTGTTCCTATAAAGCGGGGACTCTGGGGGGTTCAGGGATGAGGGTCTCGGCGGCCACTCTGTGCGGAGGCGCTGCCCCGTGTCCGGCTCGCACTGAGCCCGCCCTGCCCGGGAGGGAGCCGCGGGGAACAGATGCTCCGACCGTGCGGTGTCAGAACGCACCAAATGCCAACTCAACAGAAGGTGCGCCTGGGCGTCGCAGCAAAACAGGATCTGACGCACGCCGACGCGCCCCACCCCCGCAGCCAGCGGGCCGGGCCCTCGGGGGTCGCGGATGGGATGGGCTGCAGGGGGACTTGGCCCAGCAGACTGCCTTGAGCGCTGCTTCCCGAGGGGCACGGGGTTGCGGCAGGGGGGGCGCCCTCGGGGAGAGGGTGCTCGCCCATGTGTGTGTGAACACACGTGTAAACACACGTCTGCCACATGGAGGGGGCGTGGGGCCGTTCTGGCTCAGAGAAGGGTACTTGGCAGCGGGGCCTGTCACCCCTGGCGATCAGACCTCATTTGCCCTCATTTAAAATCCTGGGCTCTTGGGGTCCTTTTGGTTGGGGACCCCCCAGCTGACTCAGAGCACTGCGCTCGGGAATCACTCCTGGTCGGGATCAGGGGACGCTGTGGGATACGGGGATCAAACCCAGGGCAACTTGCAAGGCAAGAGCCCTTGCCCTCTGCACTATTGCTCTCTGGTCCTTAAAATCCTGATTTTCTCTGAATGAGTCAAAATTCTCTCTGTCTGTCTGTCTGTCTGTCTCTCTCTCTCTCTCTCTCACGCACACAGACACACACACACACACCAGTGCTCCCCTAAAATCATGGGTTTGGGTGCAGCCGTGTGGCCTGAAGCAGAGAGGAGGGGGGAAAGAAGAAGAGGAGGAGGAGAGGAGGAGGAGGAGGAGGAGGAGGAGGAGGAGGAGAGGAGGAGGAGGAGAAGGAGAAGAAGAAGAAGAAGAAGAAGAAGAAGAAGAAGAAGAAGAAGAAGAAGAAGAAGAAGAAGAAGAAGAAGAAGAGGAAGAAGAAGAGGAAGAAGAAGAGGAAGAAGAAGAGGAAGAAGAAGAAGCCGCCGCCACTGGGTTGCTTCCAACATTATAGTTCTATGAATTTTACCTAATTAAATCAATTAAAGTGGGTAACAGATTTAAAAGACTTTGGATAATTCTCTTTTTCCCTACAGTAGCTTTGGAGAAATTCAATATTCTTGGATTGATGAATCGTTTTAAATCACGCCTCAACAAGGCTGCGAAGAGCCCAAGGGCAGAGATCGCTCCTGTCCTCAATTCCCCGTCCCCAAAACTTGGCACCTTCCCCATCGTCGGTAAGTGGAGGACGCGGGTGTGAGTGAGTGAGTTGAATGAAGCCCACGGAAACGACCTTGGCAAAACCATTAACAAAACTGTTCAAGGGGAGAATGGCACCTCGGAGAGCACATTCCCGGAGGCTCTTGAATGTTTCGTGCCTCAAACAAAAACCCTCACCCTCACCGTCCCCATGGCAACGAAAAGGGGCCATGTTCCCACCCAATGTCATAAAAGGATTTGAGGGCCGGAGAGATAGTCCAGTGGGCAGGGTGCTGGCCATGCAGGTGGCGCAGCCCACCAGGTTTGAGCCCCTCCCCACATGCCTGGGCCCTGCCAGGAGAGATCCCAGAGTGCGGGACCAGGAGTGATCCTGGGGCACTGTCAGGTGGGCCCCAGCAAACCAATCACATCAGCATATTATATACATTATACATATTATGTATATATATCTACATCTTTGAGCGGGTCCTTTTCTGATCAGGAGAGGATTGCAGGTGTGTCAGCGTGAGCTTCTGCAACTGTCCACAGAACCCCATGACACACCCGAAAAGGTATCACCCTCAAGACCCCAGCAGAAGAGCAGAGAGGGGAGAGCCTCGGGGCCGTTCTACACAGGTGGCCTGGTCCTAGCTGCATGGGGGGGGCCCCGTGCAAGTCACACAGAGACAGGGTTATTTACTCTGACACATGCCACAGGTTGGGTGTGGGGGTGACTCCTGACATTGCCCACCCAGGGGACTTTGTCACCTCCACAATGGGACCCAGGCACTCCGGCCGTCGGACTTTCCTGGGGGTGAGGATGGAAGAAAGTCCATGTGCGGTCCAGCCACGGGGGTCCCATCTCTGCTCTCAGCGTCAGTACCCCCCATCCTCCTGACACAGGCAGCCCTGAGGCCTGGATCCGAGGTCCATTCTCAAGGCCACGGTGGAGCCTGGCAGGCAGCAAAGCCAGCCTCCCCTGGTCCTCAGCAGGTCGCTCCAGAATCCCAGCTCTGTCTCCACACCCATCCCTCCCCTCTGCACACCACCCAGCCCCTTGGGGCCCAGGAGGCTGTGGGAGGAGGCATGGGTTGGGGAAGACCCCCACTCCCCAGTACCGTGTCTAGTGACCCTCATACGATATGTCCCCACCATGGTCGCTGCTGCCCCTCAGAGGTAGGACCTGCAGAAAGGGAACTGCCCCCCGGGACAATGAGAAACCCGCACCCAGCCCCGGGGCTTCCCAAGGATGTTCTGTGGCCTGGTAGAAGGGACAGGGGTGGGTGGGTATGGCCAGACCCCCAGGAAGTGGCATCCGAGATGCCCACTTGGTGCTTTCTCCCTCGCTCTTGCACTTCCAACCGGGGAGATGAGTGGGCTGCTCCCGTCCTGCCTCCCCCCCCACCGGGCCCTCTGTCTGTCCTTTCCACACACGCCAGATCCATCTCTGACCCCCCCCCCCCCCGGCACCAGCCCCCACAGCAGTGAACAGATTTCAGACACCCACTTGGCTTCTGAAGCAAGAGCCGTTCCCGGCCGAGCCCCGCCCTGTACAGAACAAACCGTTTCCAGCACCAGAGCAAAGGAGAGGCCGGGGCTGGGGGGATTTCTGGGGTCTCTGCCCCTCCCCGCCCCCCGCCCGTCAGCTACCACCTCTTTAGTACATGTGGGGTCCCGATCTCGGTCCCTAATGTGCCACCACGGTTGGTGACTTGATGAGCACCAAGGCCTGAGGCTGCGAGTCCGACGCTGACCTTCATTTCAGTTTCTCGGGCACACGGGCTATAAAGGGCGCCCACACCCATTATGTCTTTGAACCCCACGGCCCCAGAGATGGGTCACTGGAACAGTTAAGAGCCTCTGTGGATGGTGTTTCTCATAAAGACAGAGGAAGTGAGGTGAAGTGGTTGCCCTAAAATCCACCAGGCCCCCCTGCGGACAGCAGCTCAGTTATTACAGGATGACACCTCTGTTCCGATGCCCCCACCCCCAACCACCCCGTGGGTTCCCATTTCTGGCCGCACAGGAGAATCATGTGGAGAGTTATTGCAAAATTAAAAAAAAAAACACTGATCATGGTGCCCGTGTGCCGTCCCCAAGGAAGCTGAATTTCCCCACAATGGATACGTGAACTCGAAAGCGAATGGACTTGCTTTCCTCTGTCTCACCTCAACAGCAGGACTAGTATCCTTCAATTTGGTGTCTTCAAAACCCAGCACAGTGTCTGCCACCCAATACATATCTGGTGAGAAAATTAATGAGCAGGAAACTCATCCCCCTGGAAGCCTGAAGAAGTGTGGGGGGGGGGGGGAGGGGGGGCGGTACCAAGCCCACAGCCCTTCCGAATGCTAATTTTCCTTCTGTCTCATGGTGGGCGCCAGCAACAAAGAGAAGGTGGCCCAGAAAAGATCTAGGGATACCCCCTTTGGAATCTGCTTTCCTTCTGGAAGACATTCCTGGTGAATCCCGGCATGCTGTCTGCCCCTCTCCTGCGAGTCTGAGCGTGTTTCATTTTCCGTGGATGAGAAAGAACAGTGGAGATATCAATCTTGGGAAGTCTGATTCGGAAAATGTTCTCCTAGGGAATACACCAAATCTGTTCCACTAAGGAGCCTCCACCTCCTCACCATCCGGGCTTCTCCCCATCATCTCCATGTCTGTCCACCACCATCACCATCACCTGCCACCA